CATACTCCTAGGGGATGACATGTTTGCAACACTTGGAAAATGATAAAGTAAAAATAAAAATAAATAACAAATGAATTAAAATAATAAGTCATCGTCATTATTTTGTTTACCAAAATCTGGAGTTGCCATTTTTCTATTTAACTCATTCCTTTGTTCAATCAAAGCAGGTTTTCTTTCTTCTAATTCTTTGATCTTTTGTTTAGAGACATTCATGTCTTGGGAATATTTTTCTTCAAGGTTTTTAATTTCTTGTTTAATCCGTTCTTTTCTTTTTTCTTTATCCTTTACAATTTCTAAGATATTGTCATTAGGTTTAACTTTTTCAAATTTTTCCCTTAGGGAAAGTACTTCACGTTTAATATCTGCTTGTTTATTCATTTCCATAATTTCTTTATCAATTTCTTGTCTCTCTTTTTTTGTGTCAATTATGTCTTTAGATATTACTTCTATTTCCTTTTCTAATAGTCTCATGGACGCTTCATTTTCTTTTCTTCTTTTGATAACCCCTTCTTGGCGTCTAATAATTTCTGCAAGCTCTTTTTCTTTTTCCTGGGCTTCATTCATTTGGGCCACAAGATCTTTTTCTTGTTGTGTTAATGATTCATAAATTCTTTCAATTTCCTTGATCCTTTGTTGAATATCATTAATTTCTTTAACAATTCCTTGGTATTTTATTTCAAGTTCTTTTTCATTTTTATCACGTTCTTCATTTGTTTTTCTTTCCCTTTCATTTTCTATTTGACATGCACTAATAATCTCCTTTAACATAAGCATTCGTTCTATTATATTATTTAAGTTTGATAACCTTTTCTTTTATGGTAGAAACAATACAAACCTGTTGCTTTTCCTTTTGTAAAGTCAGTTGTGTTTATCATTTTAATAAGCTCCTCTGATACAGAAGGAGTTGTTCTCTTCATGAAGAATATAAATGTAAAATGAGATTTCAAGTTCATATTATAAAAAAATTAAATGAAAAAAATAAAAAAGTCTTAATCTTGTTAAAATAAAAATGGAACCACCACTTATTTTGACAACATGCACACACGAAGATGATTGTCCTCATTGCAGATTAAAACAAAAACCAAAAGGAATTCCTGATATAAAAGAAAAGCCTAAAAGAACACCAACTAAACCAATATTTGAAACAAAAGGGTTCCCATCTCCTCAAAAGAAATACCAATCAACTAAAAAACCTGAAATCGCTTCAAAAGAAACTGTTGATTTCATTACAATGCTTCACAAAGGACATAGTCATTGTAAAGTTACTAAAGATACAGTTTCGGTCAATGCAAGTTGGATGGGTTTTGTTGAAAGACCTAAAGTATATCCAGAGTTAACTATAAAAAATATGAGGTTTGGATTTGCTGGAGAAGTCCTTCCTTTTGAAGTTGATTTGGCTGCATTCAGTGGATTGTATAATCATGGAGAAGACCAATGGGCTGCAGGATATTCATTCAATGAAATTGGTATGTTAATTCGTTCTAATGTAGTGTCTCAAGTTCGAGCAATGCTTGGAATTATTGAATCAATATGCGATAGATGTAATGGAATTTATAGAGAGATTTCATATCCACAAGATGATGGAACATACTTTAAAATAGGGGGTGAACAATTTGGAGACAAATATTATTATAAAAATATTTCAAAGGAAGATGTTTTCAGACATTTGTGGCTAAACAATGATGTCTTCGCATCACTGTGCGAGATTATTCTTAACAAAGACTCCACTACTTTGTACTATGGTATAGAAGTGTTGTACAAAATGTTAATTTGTTCTCCTCCTGAGTCTTTGCATTTTAGAGCAGCAATGAAGAATTATTTTCTTGAAACTAACACTGATGATGAGAAGAAAGAGGACATAATCCAAAGATATCTTAAACTACATATCATAGGTAAATTAGTTGAATACATGAAGATAATACCTTCAAACATAGCTATTAAAGCGTTATGGATTGCAATTGGATTTTTTAGATTAGGAAAAGATTATCAAAATTGTATCAGTGAAGATGAGAAAAAACAACTGGTTGCTCAAATATCACAAAAAAAAAGTCCTGTTTCTCATAACATTGGAAGTGATGAAACTGAAAAAGCACTTGCTCATTATATAGCAAGTGAACCAGATATTCTTCCAATTTCTATTGACGAAACATGGTCATTGGTTGATGAAATAAGTAAAGGATTTATTCCAGAAAATGGAAAAATCTTATTAATGACTTCTTTAGTAAAAAACAAATCATTAGAAATTGATAACGTATTTAACCTTCATCAAGCAAAACCTCGTGGAGTCATTGGATATCAGTTTATGAAAGAAACTATTAAATTATTAACTTTAGAAGAATTAGAAAAAGTCTATTGCTCGTGTGAGTATGAAGATCTATTCTCTGCACTACTTTGCATAAGTTATGCTGCAGAAATTATTCGAAGAAATGGAAAATTACACAAAGTGTTTAAGTTCAATCAATTACTTTATTCTGATGAATCACGATTTAAACCAAAAGATCATAAACTTTATCAAATATTACCTACCTGTGATTGGGAATTCGAATTTCCATATTTCCAATTAGCTCTTTGTTCAGTTTTAAGTGGAAACACCTTAAAAGAGTTTAATTACCATTGGGATGAACTTGGAGCACCAACTGAAGGTATTTGCCTTTCACTACTCAGAGGAGATCTTAAACTGGTCATCAAACACCTCCCAGAAATATGTATTACTTTTGGCAAAGACTGTTTTATTCTTGTGCTTAAAAAGATTTTGAAGGACGCTTGTTTATCTGGTGGACAACTTGAAGAATATTTTTTCAACCACTTCATAAATCAGTTTACTGAAGTCACTATTGGAGAGGCCTTCCCCCAATACCCTGACATTCTTTCAATTGGGTTTTGTTCTCAAAACGATGATGTTGTTTCTCAAACTTTTGAACTAGTCATAAGCCTTCTCCCTAAATACGATGAACTCATTATTCCACATTACACATCAATTCTTAATCTTCTAAAAATGCCACAAACAGTTTTTAACATTAAAATGGATCTGATTGACTCATACATTAAAACGTTCTCTCAAGTCTCTCAATCAATAATATACGATCCTTTGTATAGCGCAAAACAAGAAATCAAAAATATTCTTGAAGAACAAAAAATGAAAGGGGTTTCTAACGTTGACTCAATAGCTGACCAAAATGATATCCTTCTAATTCAACAATCAAAAGAGTATCAAAGCATGTTTGCTGATATTACTCTCTTCAACCAAACATCGTTAAATCATCCGCTATTAAGTTTTCTTATTCTACCATTTTACCATCCAGCCCCTGAATTCTTAGAAGCATTGCAATTTTCAATTGGCTCCTTTGGAACGATATACCCTTTCAACAAAACAATGTACTTAAAAACATCGGATAATTCAGAGTATCTCAGACTCATTGTTCAAGTTTATAAAACTGCTCGTCAATGGAACGACGTGATAGCAGCTGCTTTAAGCTATACAGTCATCAGGCTATGTGAAGAGGATCAAACAAATATCAAATTCTATGAACTAACAAACAACGACATAGACAAAATGAAAACCTTGGTGAATTCTATTTTTTATAAAGCCTTATAACAAAAATAAAAAAATAATTTAATCAATGTATTGATAAA